TTAACTGAGTTATTACACAGGTTTCCCCCACTATCCGACAGTAAAAAGTTGTCCTATGAAAACTTTCTAAGCCAAAATGGCATAGAGCGAAAAACGACCATTAAATTATATGGAAAAGTTTTTGAGCATTCCCAGACCCCCAAAATCACCTCTCTTAGGCCTCTGTGATGCCTTAGGGCACATCTTGCTAACAGAGGCACAGCTGTTAACAAACAGCTCAAAGCTCTGGTAGCTTGGTGCTGAGATGCTGTGTGGTTCCTGGGGAAGGAACCTGGTGAGGCTGCTCTCATTGCTCAGAGTACTGCAAAAAAAAAAAAAAAAAAAAAAAAAAAAAAAAAAATTAACACTATTTTTACTTTTCACCATTTTTTTGTAAAGANCAGAGGCACAGCTGTTAACAAACAGCTCAAAGCTCTGGTAGCTTGGTGCTGAGATGCTGTGTGGTTCCTGGGGAAGGAACCTGGTGAGGCTGCTCAAAAAAAAAAGAGTACTGCAAAAAAAAAAAAAAAAAAAAAAAAAAAAAAAATACTGAACACTATTTTTACTTTTCACCATTTTTTTGTAAAGATGAAAATCCTCTTTGGATTCCTTTCAGTGAGCAAAAACAGGTGCTAACATAGGTCTTCTGTAAAAGCAAAGTGGCATAAAGGGAGCTTCTGAAAGCAGGGGATGCCCGTTATCTAGATCCTTATTCTTCTAGTTGAAAGTTCTGTTCCTGGTTACGTTGAAATTTTTCTCAAGAGATACTCTTATTCATTTACACTTTAGTTTGCAGGAAGTTGATTATTCTACTCCCAGTAACAAATGAGGGGTATAACTGTTTGGAATTAGAGAAAAAGAAAAAAAAGGGGGTGCAGAAATTAGAGGGTCTGGGAAACACAGCCAAACTGTACCTATTTAAAAATATCGTTGTTTTCCTCGGGGTTAAGTTAATTACAATAATTTGCTCTAATCATGCGGCTGTACCTTTCTTTTTCCAAACACTTATTTCATAATTATGTGTGTCAAGTTGTTAAGGGTAACGACCCTATTTTAACATCGGGGGGAAAAAAACGAGACCAAAACAAAGCAGATGTTCTATGAATTGCTGGAAGTTAGCATTGTCAGAATTACTGAACACATGGTTTCTGACTTGGACAGTATCTCCACAGTTAAAATACGGAAAGGGGAGAGTCTGTCTGTGGGCCTCTCTGTGGCTTTTACCAATGCATCTGAATTTGCTGACCCTGAGCTGATAAATGCAAATCAAGTGAATCAAGGAAGATGGTAGAAATGATTAGTTCAAGCACAGTTCAGGAGCCTCACTATATAAATCTATACACATTGAAGTAACCTCAGTTGCTTCTCTAGTACCAAGTAATTGTTCTTTTTTATTTAAAGAAAGGAATATCTGAAATATTGGGGAGGAGGATGCAATTCTGGCTAACAACTTCTGCATTTCAAATCAAAGGAAACCTTTCTTAAACTGAAGATTTAAAAGTTGGTCTTAAAAAAACCAGTAAAATGCAGAATACCAGGCATTTAGAAAAAAGCCCATTTATTACTATATTAAGGTTTATGCTGTGTAGATACAGCAGCGTCGATAAGTAAGGTACCATGCTGAAAACTCAAACTATAATGGTTACTGCATGAGGCAAGACCATGAACCTGAAGGGGAAGGGAGACAAAGAAGAGAATCTGTTGGAGGTTACCATTGTGTAGGGACCACTCAAGGACAAGGAAGTCTCATCCATGTCTAGTATCAGTCTTTCCTAATATCCTTTCTCATCCTTGCCCTTCTCTTTCTTGATTGACAAGAAATTCATTGGCACCACGACACTGGTGGCCATTGAATTAAGAGGCCAGCCTTTGAATCCTTCTTAAACCATCGCTGCTTTTGCCATTTGACTAGAAAGTCAAATGTGTACTGATTGCCTAAGGATTTATAATAGGCTACCTCTAATAAACATAAATATTTTATTTTGTTGCCTCCCTACCTGTAGACATGCTCTCAATCTGACTCTCTGGAGAAGGTTTTGCAAGCATGGGAAACAGGTCAACAGGTGTCTTCTGGAATCCTCTCATCTCACACAGGCTGAACTGCTGCCTTAGACTTCTATTATTTAACACAGTATTTTATTGATCATAGTACACTGAGATTTTTGTTTGTTTGACAGCTTCAGAGTTAATAATTGGTAGCTTTTGAGTTAATAGAAGGCATCAAGATCCAAACGCAAAATGGAAAAAGAGAAAACAGAAAATAAACAACAGCAACATGCATTAAAGAATCAAGGAGAAACTCAGAGAGGAGCAGAATGACATGGTTATGACCGTACACACTGAAAGTTAACTTTGGGTAAACCTAAGTAAAGATTTTTTTAAAAGTGTCTAACAAGGATATGTTTACTTGTTCCAGAATAAAATTTTTCTCAGTATATTACTGTAAGTTTTGAAATACGCTCAATATTTAAGAGGTCTCTGCAGAGCCTATTTGTGCTTCATCTAACACTTTCTTCGTACTTCCTGGTGTTTACGCACATCTACTCCATCTTAAATGATGGTTAATTAACTATTGATGGGTCCTGGTATTCTAGGGCTTCCCAGGTGACGGCTCAGTATTCTTTACTAATCGTTTAATGAAAACGCTTACATGAATAATGAATCTGGCATTTCCCTAGATACACATGCAACTTTGGTAACAGTAATAAAGGCAGGCATATACAATTACACAAGATACTGTGCCTTGAAAACGTTTTCACAAAGCAGGTCAGGGAGGGTATGCTGAAAATGAAGCTCCAGTTTTTGAAGCTGCTATTAAAGTTACACATTAAAATACACTATATATTATAAGCACATAATATTAAAAGAAAAACACAGTTATGCTTGACAAGTTAATATCATTATTTGCGAAGTCACAAATAAAGTAAGTACAATTGAGATCTTCATAGTCATAGTTCCAAACCTCAGAGTTTGAATTAAAAGCAACACACCCACATCTATAAACACACGTACATACAACCTATATGATGTATCACAATGAGAAAGGAAAGTGATATGATTGAAATGGCTATGAAACCTATTATTCACCTTAGAACTGAAACTTGTCATCATTTAGCCTAATTTAAGGATGGATCTTAAGACCTCAGTTACACAAACCAGGGCTGATCACTGACTTAGTGGTGACTAAGCCTGCCACCATTTTAAACATTGAGTTCATTGACCCCTGTGATTTAATACCAATCTTGGCTCAAATGAACATTTGCTTTGGAGAAACTAAGAGCCTAACAATCAGTTATTTGAACAAATGAGTGAAAAAAATGTTTTTTTATATAGGGTTAAATGCTATAACATTTAAAGAATGTAACTGGAAACAAACATTACAAGTACACTTAGAAAAAGATCTGTTTTTGGAGTCAGAAGTCCAAAACTCTGTCTTGTTACTATTTATTAGATGACTTTGGAGGGGTCATTTAACTTCTCTGATCCTGAGTGCCTTCATTTGTACAATCAGAAAAACAGTATTTGCAACCATTTCCTAGTTGTCAGATACTACACACTATTACTATTACCAACAATTATATTACTAATTCCATAATCAATTGAATAAACTTCTATGTACCAAAACTTTATGACTAGATTTTTATGTAACTGTATTACATCCTTGCAACGCTCCTATAAGGTAAGCACTCTGATTTTCTTAGACAGATGAAGAAACATCTCAGAGTGGTTAAATAATTTACCCAACGCCACATAACTATTAAGAGCTTAAATATAAATTTGAATTCAGATCTTTCTGATTCCAAATTTCATTTTAGATCCACCATATCCTGTTTCCTCTCATATACCACACATATTTGTGTGTATGCACAAACATATGTAATATAAACATACAATGTGTATTACTTATAGAACACAGACACATATTATTCATTTTATATACAAACATGATGCTTTGAATTCTAAAATGCCATACTAATGAGTGTGTGTGTGTGTGTGTGTGTGTGTGTGTGTTTTAAAGACTGCAAAGAGTAAAGCACGGAGCAGAGTCAGTACTTAGTCAATATTTAGGAAAAGGAATTAAAATATGACAAGTGACTAAATCATTTTGAGTGAACTGTAACTCATGTATCAGTAATAACAGAGGCTATTTAAATCCTACCCTTCTGTAAGATTATATTATTAAAATTATTCTAGAGAAAAAAATTTACAAAGACTAGCCATATGTTCAATTCTAGATACAGAATTGACAATGATGGAAAAGCAACTATCTCCCACAAGCAAGGGATGAAATCTAACTTTATGGTCAAGATAAATGAAGAGAGACAAGATCTGTTTAGGGGCGCCTGGGTGGCTCAGTCGGTTAAGCATCCAACTCTTGATTTAGGCTCAGGTCATGATTGTACGGTTCATGGGATCAAGCCCCATACTGGGCTCTGTCCTGCTTGGAATTCTCTCTCTCCCTCTCTCTGTCCCTCCCCAACTCAAGTGCATGCATGCATGCACTCTCTCTCAAAATAAATACATATATATTTTTTAAAAACTGGAGACAAGATCTCTTTAAAAACTACATACGATTCTGAATTTTCAGAGTGGTGAAACATCATCTTCCAAATTTAAAATTTCAGAGAAGCTATTCTGTACTTTCCTATCAAAACAAGATATATAATGGCATATTTTACTTCTCTTGACTGCTGTATATGAATAGTAACAATGATGATGATAATTAACATTAAAAAATTTGAACAATATACTTTTTTCAGAGTTAAGGAGAAGAGGTAGGAGATATTAGGAAAGATGCACAGAGGTCTCATTTCGAATAAAAGCATACATTTTCAACTATGTAAAATACTCCACCTTCCCCTAATCTGCTCCCAAAGAATGTCAGGCCAGATGGGAGGATGATGACGCGCGTGCCCGTTCAGAGCTAGAAGGACAAGTCCTGGGACCAGAAGATGCTGCCACTTCCATCACCCACTAACACCTTGGCGATTCTTAGTTTATCCTGAGAACGTGGTACTTACTCTTGTACTGCTCTGGCTATGGAAAGGGCCGTAGATCCAGTCTCATTAACGCTATCTAAGGTCACATTTGGCAGGTCATCATCGTCACTGTCACTTTTACTTTGTCTGGGAGATAGGCCTCGGGGGTCCATTTGTGCTGGGGAAAAAAGGCATATATAATGAATTAAAATTAGTGTGCAGAAAGATAACCTTGTCCTGGACCAACATCAAGCACAGCATGTCTCGTCTGTGCCTATCACGCACATGGAATTCTCTAGAAATCCCAGGAATTAGTGAAAGCGGTGCATTTCATGGTCTGAGCGCTCACGGACTTTTCCCTTGTTCGTTTGATTTACAAAACCTCCATCACCTCTCAACAGTTTCAGGGGATGGTTACAGAACAGAAACTATAAAATCCACAATATTATCAACTCCTGAGTGTCAGAAGCTGATTAGGTAGCTCATGAGTTACTGTGCAACCCCCTGGCTCTTCCTTCTTGCTTCGCTGCCAGTTTTGGCCATTTCACCGCTTGTTAGCACGTTCCCTGGAAGGTGGGGACCACAGAATTTATCTGCCTACAGCTCTTTTAATAAGCTTAAAGAAGAGCACGGTTTACTAGACTAACGTAAAGTTGTAGGTATTTCTCATACTTCAGTGAATACTGTCTCACAGTTCATTACTGTTTTATGTGGAGATCTGAGTGCCCACAAATGATAGAAGCAGCAGCATTTTAAGTACGTTTTATGTGCTAGAACGTGTACGTCTCCATGTTGATTTCATTTTTCAGAAAGGCATTTCCAGATAGGATTCTCCTCCCACCGCAAACTTGCCAACAAAGCAGAAAATAGCCTGATGTTCTGTGGTACCTGCTGACCAGGACCATCAAATCCTTTCAAATGGGAGGATTACCATCAACATTTAATATGTGGAATGTATATTTCTAAAGTTTAGATTTCATTTCCACTTCCTCCTCTCTACTAACGGCCTCAGCAGCCACCACTGTCTAGGATTTCCATCAGCCCTCACCTCAAAGCGCAAAATAAGCACACCTTCTAGATTAAAAGTATTGCGCTAGCTACGTCATTGCATTATTAAAATACATGAGTTCAGCCCCAGCCGGCTACAGCCAGCCTGCTGCTCTTGCAACATGCCCACAAGAGATTTCCAAAACCACCACTGCTCGCGACAGAAAGCAAATTGAACTTCCCATCAATGTCACAAAGACATCTTTTTACAATTTCTTTTCTTCTCAAATCATTTTTTTCTTACTGTAAATTGTACATTAGGTAGAACCACTGGGAAATGTTGAGATTCCACCATTTTTTACCCACAAAAAGAACAATTTCTCATGATTCTATCTAATACTTATAAAATGAATAGAAAAATCTAGAGAGTTTCAACATAATTCTAACTAAACTTGGTTAGGAAGGAACTTGCATCTGTTAAATATTGCCCTAGTGTATTTGATGTACATTCTGCCTGTCAATATAAACATACCAGAATGTATTTTGAACAAAGGAAGTGCTTGGTAAATGTTTGCTGATATTCAGATAATCTAAAGCAGTGGTGCTCAACCAAGGACAAAACTGCCCCCCTTCCCCTAAGAGACATTTGGCAATGTCTGGTCTGTCACATTTTGATTTGTCACGACTTAAGGAGAAGGGAATATGGTGGGCAAAAGTCAAGGATGGTGCTAGATACACTACAATACACAGGACAGTCAGTCCCCCGTGACAGGGAATTATCCAGTCTAAAATGCCAATAGCATCCAAGTTGAGAAACCCTGATCCAGAGATTTAAGAGTTTGGGCGCCTGGGTGGCTGAGTCAGTTAAGTGTCTGACTCTTGGTTTCAGCTCAGGTCATCTCATAGTTCCTGGGATGGGGCCCCAATCCCTGTGTTGAGCTCTCTGCTGACAATGTAGAGACTGTCTGGGATTCTCTCTCCCTCTCTTTCTGTCCCTCCCACCCGCCTCTCTCTCCCCCTTTCTTTCTCTAAGTCAAAATAAATAAACCAAGTCCCTGTCATATGACTCAGCACTCACAGCTTCTCCAGATGCAGCATTCAGTTTCTCAAATGCCAGGAGTCATGCAGTGACACTCATCCAGAGTTCCTGAATGTTTTCTTTGTATGACACACAGTGGGACAAAAACACTATTTGCCATCTGATCTCTAGAGAAGATTTCCTAAAAGAGGGATGTTGGAGAAACTCTTCCTGGGGGAAAGTAACCAGTTCACAGGCATCTGACAACAGAGAGCAAGCTAAGCATTCAGCCACTCTGAAGGCACTGAAAGCCCTGAATCATTCAAAACCTATTTGACTGCAGGCAGCAGAAACTGACTCAGGCCAACCTATATTAAACAGAATGTGGTGGAAAGACATGGAGCAGCTCAAAGAATGGAAGGTAAGGAGGTAAAGATGAACAGCTATCGCTCAAGCATCACAGCACACAGGAAAGATACCAGCATTTCAACCAGGAATTCGTAGACAGCTTCTGTTTGGGCAACCTATTGTAGAATGATTCATCTGACAGTCATTCATGACTACTCAAAATGAGCCAAGAAAATGAGTATCGGATCTATCCAGGCTTCCAAATCGCATATTGTGTGGTGTTACATATGCCTGTAAATGTCAGCAACTTAACATTTAGAGTTGTCGAAACATCATGCACCAGGATGCCGGTGCCAAGATACCAAATTAACAAACAGCTAAAGAACAGAGCATATCCCGGTGGCCCCATTTTGTCCAAGAGAACTAACTAGAGCTTTTGTGGAGAAGTGAGACAACTCAGTGAAGACACAGGCAGTTTACCGATAAGCTCTCTGGCTCCAACAGCGTAACGGTAATAACGATTCCAGATAACTGGTGTGAGAATTGATCATCTAAATTATGTTATGTTTGTATCTTAATGAAAGTTTAAAATATGTTAAACATGGTATCTCTTCTGATGTACTTTTCAGGAACATCATAATTGAGGATTTCTTTCCAATATTTTCAATAAATATTATGAAATACATCTGCTACCATCATGCTGGGAAACTCTTGTTACCCGTACCTTCAGCCAAGCTGAGGAAGTAATTAGAAAGGCTTTTTGAAATCTGCATTGCTGATTAGGTCAGATGATTAGCTTATCTACATACTTGCATAATTCCACTCTATTTTTATTAGATGTGGGATAGGAACATCTACCCTAGTTCACCTCTATTAGTCTTACAGTTCCTCAGCTCATTTTGGAAGCCGGGATTCTCTGAGGTGCACATTCAGAGAAAATGGCAAAGTTACCCAGGCAGCAGAACTAAAAACCCATCTACTCCTCTAAGTAAGAGAGCAGCAAATCAACTATAGGCATCTGAAGATAATTTACATTTGAGACTGTGTTCCTTTTAAATGATAAAGGGATCAGATAGCTTTGGGTATTCCAGCTCATTGTTGAGCTCATTCCAGCTCATTGGTGTCATTAGTGAGTTGGGGGTGCTGTGGAATACAGTATGAGTTTCATACCATGTGACAAAATCCCCAAGAAGGGAACCGTAGAACCCTAAAACCGGCAATTGAACATATTCACTCTAATTTTCAAATATGCATGTACAATATACCCTTCCTGCAAGGATTCTCCCAACAAATCATGTCTCCATATACCCATGCCCTGGTGTGGCTGCCTCCCATAATGACTCCAGACTTGGCTTTATGACTTGATGCGGCCAATGGAATATTAGCACACATGACACAAAGCAATAGCTTTGAAAGCACTTGCATATTGGGTTTCCCCTCGATCTGTTACTGTTTTTAGAACCTAGCCACTATGTGAAGGAACCCAAGAAAGCCTAAAATACACACTGCTCATCTGGAAGCCAACACCAACTGGGGTAAGTGACTCATTTGAGAATGACTGGTGACTTCCCAGCCACCAGATGATTGTAGCCATGAGTGACCCCGGAGAGACTAGCATGAGAACCGCCTGGCTAAGCCATCCCCAATTTCTGACTCACAGAACAGTAAGCAAATAAAATAGTGGCTGTATCAATCAACTAGATTTGGGGGTGCTCTGTTATGTGACAATACAAAATCAGTGCGCTCTCCCAGATCATTCCAGAGTTTTCCGGGCAATGATGTGGAATGACGTGTAACTACAATTACAGTGAGCCCATCACATTCCTCTGTATTCTCCTCCCAAGAGGCAACCTGGCCTCAAGCAGCATAAATTTAAGTGGGCTCGTAATACAACTATGGAAAATAAAAGTCACATATTCTGTATTATTTACTTCTCAGTCCAAAAGATCCAAAATGTATTTGCAGCTACTTTGGCGTTAGAGGCATCTTTGATCCTTGACCTGCCTCAGGCAGGCTTCTACTAGAAGGGGCCATCAGTTGGTATTGCTATTTGCGTGAACGAAGCTCTTCTATCCCTTTTCTCAATCTCATAGTGACAGGAGGGTCCTATGCGTGGATCGTCCCAAGTAAGTGGCTAGCCAAAGCTAGTTTCACACTGTTTGCCTCTCTTCAACTCACACGGGGCATTTGAACTTTATTTCCCCTCCCACTAACAGTAAACTGACATAAACACAGCAGCACCAATGTCCATTCTCACCTCCCTCACCTCAACCTAGGTACTGACAAAAGATTAAGCGCTCTATCTTACGTAGAAATAAACTGGCCCATTCAGCTAATTCTTCAAGGAAAGGAAAAAGGAAGTTCTTCCATATGTCACCATATTACATGCAAACAAGGTAACAATCTACGAACATACACCGAGATTTTAAGACTAACATGTCCTAACCAGAATGAGTCACAGAAGGATTTGTTCAATCCCTTTCAGCTTGGCCTATCCAGGCTGGAGGGGAGGGGGCGCCCGCAGATGGAAGGGCAGGGGGCAGCTGGTGAGCAGAGGCCAAGGTGCTGCTGGTCTTTCCTCCTCCCCTTTCTCAGCCACTCCCAGGCTGCCTGGTACCTGTAGAAGTCTTCACTGTTTGTCCTGCCAAGGCTGAAGCACTGGCTTCCACAAGAGTTGCTGCTTTCTTCTCGAAAGAAGGGCAAGGGGAGAATGGGGAGTGCTGACGGGGGCGGGGAGGAAAATGAATATATGGTGGTTGGGGGAATATGCAGGGGGAACATTCACAGCATTATGGAGTAAAAAGGTCCTCTTCCACCACATACTA